TGCTCGATTTCCTGGGAAGAGGGAGGGTCTGTTGGGGTAGACCACTCGGCCCCAACGCGAGCGCCAGAGGTAGCAGATGGAGCTGGGGGCCAACAAAACTGCGAGCCAAAATGTTCGGCCCATCGCTCCAACCGTCGTTGAAGATTGGTGATTAAGGTGCCATCCTCTTCGCATATTGTTTCACTTATACCAGATCGAACACCTTCGGTGACTCGAAGGAGATGGAAGAGTTTCCTGGTATTACCACAGAGACTAGCAAGCTCCATCTCCCTAGCACGTTCACACCACCAAGCTTCGCGGTCCATTTGCAGACTCCTGCGCAACTCTCGACCAAGGTATTGGCGTTCTTCAACGTGTCTCGAATCCGATGGGATCAAGCGGCGTTTGTCCATCAGCGACAAGGAGTCGGCGGAAATCCAATGTTTCGGTGGGTGACGGGTAACTCCACAAGTGTCGATACTGGCGGAAACTAACGCATCTTTGATTTGCGCCCACTGCGAATCGAGATCACCGTCAATAGTTGAGCCAAGCAAAGTTGACAGTGAGGCTTGGTACCTGGTTAAAACCGCAGCGTTTTGTAGATTTGCGACGTCCGGTCGGTAGTGGGCGCGCTTAGGTGATCCTCCAAAACGCATGCAAATCTTAGCACGAACCAGTGCGTGATCAGAGTCCAGAAAAGTTGACCAGTACGATCGGCAGTCCATTACGCTTCCGCGCCATCTGTAGCTGATTGCTATGTGGTCAAGCTGGGAGCACTCTTGCGTTTGTGAGGGCGGGCGCCAGGTAGCAGTCTGTCTCCTCGAGTGTCGAAAACTAGTGCTCGAAAGAAACAAGCGATGATCAGAGCAAAGAGCAAGTAGTCTGTCTCCATTGTCTGATCGACTGCCACCGAGACCAAAACTACCCCCAATGTGGTGCTCGCTTGGTAGAAGGCGGCCAACCCGTGCGTTAAAGTCCCCGGCAAGAATGACTATATCCGTCCGTTTGGAGGAACGCAGAAGTTCATGTAGTTGTTGGTAGAAGCTATCTTTAACTGCAGCCCGGATGCAGTCTGTAGGGGCGTAGGCGGAGACGACAAATAAGGCACGCTTAACATCTCGACGCCTGCTTACGTTACATGAACCTCTTAGTCTGACTGCACATAGTCGGCTGTTGACTGGGATCCAGTCAAGCAGAGCTGATTCAGCCCTGGCACTTAATACAACCCCAACACCAGCTTGACCAGTGGCGGCAGATTCTGGGTCTCCGGAAAGCCGCAAGTAGTATTTGGCGTCAGAGTTTACCGGAGAGGCCATTCTGATGACGGCGCTAGAGTCTTGTAATCTGGTCTCTGAAAGACAACAGATGTCTACCGATAGCGTTTCAAGAGTACGGGCCAGACATGCTTGTCGTCCGATCTGCATCAAAGTTCGAACATTAAACGCTGCGAGGATGAATGGAGAACCAGGTCGGAGAAGAGCTGGAGCTTCGGTGGAGTGAGAGGCGGTTGCGATCGCAGGACATGGAGAACCGGGAGTTTGGCTGTTACTTCCATCAGTATAAGTGCGCACGAGTACTGGTCATACGTTCCAACTTCCCAGTCTTAGCATCATAATGTTGCAGCTATCCAATGTCAGTCCAGATATCGGCTGCCTACGCTCATTGGTCCATAGGCACCGATCGTCCGCCGCGATCGAGTTAATCCACGCCTCTTTCAAAGGAGGGACACGCGGATACTTGTTCAGGTTAGGCCGCGTTAATTCTGTTTTGCCTGCTTGACCAGTGTAAGTTTGGCTCACCTAGCCAGTCGCCACTGCAAACGGTGTCCTTCTCCGAAGTCCATTAATGTGTGTGTACTGTCTGTTCAATGATGTGCGGACCAATCTGGTTCGCCCGACTGCGAGCGCGTTGCCTTACATTCGAGATACACCGAATGAATACTATCACGCCGTTCTCGGCTGTGTTTGGGGCCAGCTTACGTAGGCGGTGTTTCAGCGGCCATCCATTCACTAGCCTGCACCCCAGTTACCTGCAATCATCGAACATAGTGACCGATCTCCAAACTCACGCCTCCAACTGATCTATGGCAGTACAGACCATGCAGGCAGGAAGTAAAATGCAAAGCAGCGGTAGTTGGATTAAAATGGTTGAGGCGGTCAACCACAGGTAGACCCAGTCAGTAATCGTCCGACCCTAGAAAGGCGCTGGTTGAGTATCTGTGTCGTCCTTCCGGAGCCTGTCATCGTGATCAATACGTATTAGCGTAGGATGAGAAACACACCTCAGCTAATGTGCCGCAATACAAAAAATTAGATATTAAAAATTACACAACAAAAATTCCAAAGCAAGTGAAATGATGTTAAATCTTATTTTCTGCAATTCGTATGAGATAGAAATTGGAGGGAGAATCTAAGGAGAGGGAGTAGACAACGAAACTCTCAACACAAACGCCATTCGGCCTGGCACTTCGCCACGTCAAGTGTATCCAATCAAACGTGTTCATCGTCCTTTGGACCCCAGCCCGGTAGTCGGGAGGCACAAACCGACGCCAGCTACAAAGTGAGGATTTGATTCCTCTTGACCAAGGCAGCGCTTGGCCCCTTCCTCCTATCCCAACCGTACCCTCAGTGTGCAAACAATGCATGTCGTGGGAGTCGGTGTGCTGACGTGCGCAACACGTGGCCCAGCCATCGGAGCCTGGTGCGTGATATAATGGTGCTGAGCGGTTCACCCGTTCTTCCTGCGCCAAATGTCGGCCGGTGGCCAAGTGGTCTGCACGTTTGCTTTGCAATCATAAAGTCACCCATTCGAATCGGCGTAGGGGTGGGCGTCCTCGCGGTATACTCAGCCCGCGCGCGACTGGTGGTGGTCGCGTGGCAGCGAAGCGCCGTTACAGCGTACAGCTGACACATTATTATTATTATTTATTATTATTATTACTTCCTGCGCCAAATACGCAACGCCGAGCACGCTCATCGCTCACGAGGTGTTCCCACCAGATATGAGCTAAGCTGCGAAGGCTGATCGAACGTGACCAGTCTCTTTATGTCTGGCGACCTGATGGGTCAGTTTTCACAACCGTTTAAAAGGGTTGATCGGACGGCTGCATCATAAACTCTACCCTTCAGAGCGAGAGTGATGTCGCGTCTGCGCCACAGGTGGCAGAGCAAAAGCAAAAGCACCTCGAGCTTTTGCTATGCGGTTCGTAAACTTAGATCCGATCCCACCGGCGATAATATAGCTGCCCAAGTACATGAATTCTTGAACGACTTTCAGCTGATCACCACCAAGGGTCAGCGCAGAGTTAGGTCTTTGCCAATCTTGCAGAACTTTGCATTTCGATGGAGCAAATCATAGCTCAAAACGATTGATAACCATTGCTAATCTGTGCAGGGCTGTTTGGCACGTTTGGGCGCTGTCACATATGAGGGCAATACGGTCCGCATACTCCAAATCAAGAAGTCGCTCACCAGGAAGTAGCTCCACACCTTCTAGGTCGTGTCCAGCGAACGCTGTTTCCATGACTTAGTCAATGGCGAAGTTAAAGAGGAATGGTGAAAGGGAGCAACCTTATCTCACACCGCCGGAGATATTGAAGGACGGCGACAGTTTGCCAAAAACCCTCACTCCGCCCGAATTATGTGCGTACAGCGCTCTGATAAGGTTCATGTGTTTTTGGGGCACACCTTTCCTCAGCAGACAGTCCGACAGGGCACATCGATCAAGCGAATCGAATGCACCTTTGATGTCAGGAAACATGACAACGGTGGGTCGCCAATAAACATGGCGGTGCTCCAACAATTGACACAAGGTGAAGACGAACCTACCGGGAGCTCATCAGTAGTGACCCAATGTCCGCAGAAGAAGACTTGTCTCAGTGACACGGTATGTGCTGCATACTGGCACATCATCAATAGTAAGAAGAGCGAACGCAAATAGCCGGTGAGACTAGAAAGGACGACACGGCTATTAGGTGTCTTGCATAGCGTCAATAACAGTCTGAAGAAGCAGATTTGTGGTAAATACTATTAAAATCTTCCAACTGCTTAAATATCTTACTACAAATGCGCAATCATGAGTACGGGTAATTGGGTGTAAATTGTTGGGGGATTCAATGCGCCATAACACAGGTAGCTTTTAAAATATGACGGTTCGTTGCTGTCCGACATGGCTCATGGACATAAGCTGGCGATGCGAGGCGCTAGCAGTCATAAGTTCAAATCGTGACGGATCTGATGAGTGTTCACTACTGAGGAGACCTAACAGGTCGAAATGGTCGTCTGGTGCTTTTCCGTACTTGTGCTACGTGATCTAGAAGCTACCGAGAAGAAAACCCATACAAGTTAGAGGTGAAATCCAATGAACAGTACAAGCAAAAATTCCCACCTTTTGGTTTAGCAGTGTTTGCGCGACAGAATGATCAAACAGGTTCTAGGTCGTAAAAGACAAGTACAGACAAGCATCTAATACGCGGCTGGTGTTATTCGCTGTCAAGCGCCGCATATACGATCACGACCAATAGCTGGTAATGAAATGGACAGAATAACCACTAAATACTAGGAGGAAAGAGATCTCAGTTGGCAATGGATAGACCAAAAACAACACCTGCGCCAGATTGAATGACTTGTTATGGTGCTCAACAATTCTAAAGTCCATTAAACTGGTTCACGTTGAATGTGCATGTGGACCTAAGGAGAAACGCTGGCTCACAACTAGTAAGCAGGGTCGTAGCCAAGTTGCGAGAATGAAACAACTATTTGCTTGTCATACGCTGGGTAGCAACGACGAAAAAGCGGTAGGTTCAGAAGAGAACAAAGCGCACGCCAAAACGCCCCAGTGGGTGTACGCCACATCCAGGAAATCCCATCATCTGGGTGATCCAAGGGTTTCATGTCGTAGAAAAACTACCAAGAGCTCCGGTGAGCTGATCTCATATTAAATATGGGAGAATACAGGCGATCGGATGGTGAGAAATATTGACTGCCACTTAAAACAAAATGGGCCCACATTCAGTGGCATACCGATGAGCGGGAAGGACAAGATGGCAACGGATCCAATTTTTCATGCATTCTGTAGCCACATGGAACCAACTGCATCAAAATAGGTTCCTCCGTCCGCTTCCGTCTCTCCTCCTGCAAATAAAGTAGTGTAAGATGTAAAAAAGAATTAGCACTGCAATTGCGTCAATGGGTTCACCAAACAGACCAAACATCCATTTGAGGAAAGTTACATCAACATTGACAAACTGACTCGCATTCGCCGGACACGGTGCAGCTTGCATATCTCTTCTAAAGTTCGCCGAATTTTCCCCTGTCGTATACGCTCTACCTCCAATGAACGCTCCACAATTGCGTGGGAAATGAGTTCCAAAAGGGCCCGTTTCTGATTTTCACGATTGCACAGTTTTTGGTATTCTGCCTCAGGTCTGATTACTCCGTCTTTGGTTATCTGATGAGAAGCAGTAAGAGGCCAAAACACAACCTGTCATTCACAAGTATCTGGGACAAAATGGTAGGGGTGGGCGATTGAAGCCAGTAGGGGCAACAACGCATATATCATATGAGCCATATGTTAGTGTGGTTAGCCCAGGGTGAAGTGAAAATAAATAACCATGACCACTCATCACGATCGACAGTGGTGAACAGTGAACCTAAATATTGCGGTATCTCAACCCCTGACTTGCCGATCGGTTAACACCAAGCTGCTTGATCATAATTTATGTTCAAGAAGACAACAGACCTCCTCAGTGTAAACTGATAGATGGTAGGAACAAGGATTCAAGATACAGGTACATCCCCCAAAAGCAGTCGGAGGATTTGAAGCATCGTCACCATCTAAATCAAACTGGTTTGCCGAACAACCCCGTGGTGTAAGCTGGGTGGTCCGGGATTATTTCGGCACGGCGAATGATTGGGCGGCAGTGTTCCAGGATGTGGTGAGTTTTCGTCTGGCAAGCGTCCTTCCCATAAAAAGCCACATATATTCGTTTAACAACACTGCGACGTGGCGGATGTGACTCGTCACTAAATAAAGTCGCTGCCGCTTGTTTCACCTTGGTGAAAGGTTGTATCACAGCATCTCGCTATTGAATTCGTGGAGAAGATTGGGCCGCTGTTTGGCCACTCACCAAACGAAAAGCGTACGAACTGAGGAATCAATCATCGGCTCCCAATGGGTGCGATTCCCTGAATTCGCTCTGCTGCCTTGCGGGTAGCCTATTAAGCCAAAGGCTAGGGGTGGAGTCCCCTAAGACAACTCCCTACTTCTGCTTAGGCAACCGGGTAGAATCGTGCCCTCTGTGAAAAACCATGGATTTTGCAAGTACTACTACGTCTCTGACTTTTTTCGCTAACTTCCCTACTACTCATGCTTCTTTATCACACACCAACTTTTCTCGTGTTGATAATCCACAACTTGAATCTACGTCCAATGCCCGTCTCTCTGTTATCCAAATCGTCTGGCCATCATCTATTCTTCGACCCCGTTCTTTATTCCGCCTGGCAGCGTTCGATGTACGGACCCGACTACAGATTGGACAACATGGTGGCCTGGCGCGCACTCCAGTCCCTCGCCACCGATGTTTGTTGCCTTTCAAAGACTCGATTACAGGCTTCCAGCACCGTAATTAGTTTGCTGTATCCGGGTGCTCTTGAAACTACATATTACCCAAGTCTTTCTGATGACATGGAGGCAGCAGCAACCGGCTTAGCTGGTGTTGATATTGCCTTGAGTGACAAAGCGGAGGCTGCATTACTCGAATGGTTCCCGATCGACAGCCGGCTGTGTGCGATTCGGCTTTAAGGCTCACGTAGAATCAATAGATATCATGAAGAAAAGCGCAATCTGTTTGGTATTTCTGCCTACGCTCCAATCAGTTAGGGAAGACTTTTATCGTGGAGTCCGCAACCTTTTGAGCAAGGTCGAAAACTTAGATGTCATTGGCCTTGCCGGAGATCACAATGCACGTGTAGGTCGCCTGCTTATGTGCGAACGCCATCTTGTTGGCAGTCACGCGGTTGAAAGTCGTTCTGATAACAGTGATAGACTTCTCACGTTATGCGAAGACCACCGTCTCTTTCTCTCAAGTACGAGCTTTAGGCATTCCAGAAGATGTGCACGCACCTGACGTCCTCCTTGGCCAACGCAAGCGTGATCACAACTAGATCACATTGCGAGCAGCTTTAGATGGCGAGGCACCGTACGGGATTGTAGAACGATACGGCCCAAATACCTCGAGTCAGATCACGCTTTGGTCTGCGCGGACATCTGCATGCGCTTCGACGGTTCCTCAAAACGAAAGCTCCACACGCTCAACACCAAGAAGTTAGCTGACCTCTCTATTCGATAAGCTTATCAAGCTTACTTATCGCATGCATTCATTAGTAATCCTCGAGACATCGAAAATCATTGGAGTTTCCTGCGTGAAGTGATGCTATCTTCCAGTCATCCAATCTGTGGAAGCACAAGGCGCCCTCTGAGAGACTGCATTTCCACACTTACTGGAATTATTTGATCGTCGTAGAACTATCCCGACCGACACAAATAAAGGTGCAATGCGCCGCTTTATGAGCCAAAACCTTGTACAAAACCCACGAGCTGACCGCGAAACTTGGTGGTCCCGGCGCGTCTCAGAGATGAAAACGGCAACCCCCTCTGGAAACTTTCGGAAGCTCTTCCAGGTCATGCGGGCCACGGGTCACAAAAGACCTGGTGTCGGAAAGGTTAGTTGCGAGGTTGACGGAATCCCGATCACCAACTTATAAAGTTGCATGGACCGCTTGGATGAACACTTCCACACTCAATTCAGCTAGCCTCCTCCACCGGCGAGGCTAACGATTATGCCTAGCTACGCGCCTTGGAACGTCTCACTGAAACCATCTAGTGAAGCTGAGGTCTGTCTTGAGCTCCGACATTTGAAACGACTCAAGTCTGCTGGTCCAGACGGATATTCCAGCCGCTTGGGGCGAGTCAATTATCGTCACGGTCTTCAAGAAAGGTGTCCAAACCCTTTGCGTTAACCACGGAGGAATCAGTCCAATGTCCGTTGCCTCCAAGCTGGTAACATCCATCCTACTCAGCAGGCTAACCCCAATTCGAGAGTTGCGCTCCCGTGAAGAACACGCTGGTTTTCGCTCCAACCGAGGGTATATAGACCATTTGTTTACGCTCCGCCAACGCTTTGAAACGAGTCATCTTTATCGCCAGCCCACTGTTTTCACTGTTTTCTGGACATCCGAGTCGCTTTCGACTCCGTCGATCGGCCAGCTTTATGGCGCTGCTTACAAAGGAATGGAGTACTCGAAAAGTACATCACTATCTTTCGAGCATTATGGTGCAATGTCTCAGGTAAAGTGAGGACTCACGGTAAGCACCCGTCACATTTTGACGTCACTAGCGGTGTACGACAGGATTAACCCATGTCCCCGTTACTCTTCAATTTTGCAATTGAGGATATCTTATTAAACGCCCTCGAAGTTTCGCAGCGTTCTGGTGTAAAGCTTCTTCCAGGCAACCGCGTGACCGATTTAGATTATACTGATGATATTGCCTTGCTTGGTGATAACGCACCAAGCACACAGGTCATTCTAACCGCTTGTTGATTGAAACATTAAAATATGGCATGACCTTTGCCCCTACGAAATGCAAAGTCCTGGTCCTGGATTGGCATCCACCTACTCCAGTGCCCACTCTTTAAGGTATGCAGCTTGAACAAGTGGACTTTGTTTACCTAAGAAGCTGTGCTCTGCTGATGGTAGCATTGGAAGAAAGATTTCCCTCCGTACTGCCAAAGCCCGTTCGGCGCTCGCCAACCTGAGGAATCTGTGGCAACGCCGTGACGTTTCACTATTGGTAAAGGGCAGGGTCTACAATGTCTGTGTTCGCGTGGTGTTGCTGTACAGGAGTGAGTCCTGGCCGATTCGTGTGAATGAGGCGCCGGATTCCGGCCTTTGACAATGGATGTCTGCGGAAAGTAGCTCGAGTGTGGTGGATGAACAACATTTGCAACGATGATGTTAGACGTCGCGTCTTGGGTAACATGGGACTTCCAGTTGATAGACTGGTACCGTGGTGTCAACTGAGATGGCTGGGCCATGTTTTACGCATGGTATCCGAACGGGTGCCCTGAGGCGCTGTTTTCCCTCGTACAGGACCAGGCTGGAAGAAATTGTCTGGTGGTCAGCCTATCAAGTGGCGACAAAGAATTAAGGCGCTGACTTCCAGTTTAGCTGTCGTAGGTCCCGTGCGTCTTCCGACAAGGGGATCAAAGATGAAGTACATAGCCGGCTGGAAAGCCTTTCGGACATGGCGCAGAACCGGGCCCAATAGAAAATGTGTATGGATGTTCGTCTTAATTTATTTAACTACATGCTTAATGTTAAACAGGTAAAAAAGACAAAACGGCGCGTGACTAAAGAAACAAAGAAAACAAGAACCAAAAACAAAAAAGCTTTTCTGCAGCTTTTATCATTTTTGCTTCTTTTTGGTCTTCGTATTTATTACTTTCATAGGTTCATCTTATAAACGGATGCTAACATATATATATATATATATATATATATATATATATATATATATATATATATATATATATATACATATGGTTGGCGGCATCCCGTTTCAGATTTGCCTGTCACTGTGGCCAGCCACAGGACGCCTGCGCCTACAGAGGGACCATGGGTGGCTTGCGCTGCACCACCCACAGCTTCAACCACACACCCCATATCCAGTGTAAACCCGAAGGAATAAGACCGGGAGGCATGCGGATGGGAACCACGTTTCATCAACGGAGCCGGCCCACGCTCCTTCACAGGCAAACACAAGCACGCTGTATTTGGGGAATCAAGCGCACACAAGGCGGTGGCTGGACCGTAGTCCGCTCCACACTGTGTGCATGGAACCGCTCTTTGAGCCTAGCACGGCCACAAGGACCGTGCACCTCGCCCCCTCCAGCAACGACCACCTATCGCATAGAGACAGTATGGACGAGGTAGTGGGTAATAGACATTTAGATACCTCGTCAACATGCACATCAAGCAGAGCCACACCGGGGATGTCAAACAACAACCAATCACATAAAATGACATTATCAAATACAATACATATGTTAAAGAATACGACTATGCATACATAACTCTTCCCTAAATTAGTATATGAAGTACGTTGGTTAGCAGCGAATCCGCGGAAAGTACAAAATGTCCAGAAGTGACTCAGAAAATGCTACAAACGCAATAAAGTTTTTGAAGATAAGCACAATTAGCGTAAGCAACGTGAAAATTTAATAGAAGATTATACCGGTAGGCAGAACAAATCAAATGAAGTGGAAGGAAATTTATCCAGCTTAAAAAGAGACTCAGTTTAAGTGTAAGTTGGTCTAGCCCAACTGCGGTGAAAAAGCATCATGAATGCAACATCAGCCTCAGCATGGGGATATATATATATATATATAT